TTGGAATTCACAAAACAAGAAGGAACAAATAGCAACAAGAACTGCAAGCCACGACTACATGTCTTCGCATTCGTTTGGGAGCCATCTCCTAAAGAAACCCCAAAAACCCTGCGCCCATCGGAACTGGTGTCACAACGGACCGCACCAGTCCCTGTGAGTTCTCCCCACCCCTGCGAAGGAAAAGGGACCAAAGCTGATCGGTCCAATCAGTCGGAACAGTCGGAAGAAGTTGATGAAACGCTGATTGGTCAGTCGCATACCAAGGTCCTATCCTTGTGTCGACCACAAAGAAGCCTCCTCCCCCAAAGAAGGGCCGTGTTTTGTATTGCCCTGAACCCCCCCCCAAAAATAGAGGGCTTCGTAGAAGCCGTTCAAATGCAGTCCATGTCGCATCTGTCGAACGACTTTCCCTGAAAAAAAGAATCAGGCCCGGAGGACTCGGAAGACTCCGCGTCGACCCAAAGTCCGAAGAAAGAGACATCTCACTCCGCCGTCGCCGTGATTCTTGGAGTGAAAGGGGGTTTCTCTTGTCCCATGTTCAATGGTGACTCCTTCCCGGAACGGACCATGAGGCTCTCGGATCTGAAGAAGGAGGTTCTTGGATCTGAGGCTTTGGAGTCCTCCGCCCCAAACGTGTTTTTAGTTTAGAGAACCCAAAGTAACCTAGAAATCAACCAAAAGCATTGCTCAACAGGATGGCCTTTGGGATTCCACATGCAACCAACCAGGATGATGGAGGAGCGGGCCGGGCCTTCTCGGCTTCTTCAGCCTGAAGGCGTATGTGCTTGAGGTTGATTGGTTAATTGATGTTACGAGTTACTCATTGGTTGAGAATGCTTCTAAGATGAAGAATGAGAAGTACAAGAGAACAATCAATTAAATTTTCACTCCTACTCAACTAAACATGTTGGAGGCCATTACTCTTAGCTTGGAGGCCATCGCTCTCAGGTTGGAGGCCATTGCGATTAGGATCTATTAGGTATAGACATTTCCTTGTTGTCTGTCAGAGCCCTCATACTCTTTTCTTGTAGCTTTGGGTACAGCTGGGCTTGCTGGGCTTGTTGGGTTTAGATGCCTCATCAGTCTATGTGTCTCCAAACAGAAGGCGATCCAGCTCCGCGGCCGTGGGTCCCGATGTTCAGTCACGAGTCGAAAGAAGAACGGCCCGGGTCCCACGGGTCCCACGGCGAATTTCGTTCAACGCCAGTACCTATGGGATTAACCGAACTAGAATTGATCAAACCCAAAATGCAATGACTTCTTGCAATGCACCGAAAATGCTTTCTGATTGGCATCTCTATACTTCTCTCCTATGGAACTTGCTTCGGAGGACCATCAAATTCGTGGTGTGGCAGCGTCGACATCGTGTCGGCCTCCCAATCAACGAAACGTCTGGTCTGTTGTTGGCCCCTTTCTGGTTCCATTCATGGTGGAAGTACTGTACCATACTGTACCCAAATGATAGTTCTGTATTTTTGGTTCTCAACCAAATGATAGCATCATCCGAAAGAAAGCATACTGTACCCAAGCAAACTTAGGACACACCGATGATCTGGGTCAAAGAACACAACAACTGAACCCCCCAAAAAAGTCGGTGAACATCTACCTGCCCTCCATCACGGAAAGAAAACAAAACACAGCCCCCTGATGAGGACCATCTTTGGAAAGTTGTCATGCGTTGTCCACTTCCTGGCTTTGATCTAGGGTAGTTCATCTGCCTTTCAACCCTCCCCCTCGCCTCGTCGGCTTCGGCTTCAGGCTCTTTAGCCTCCGGGCACAACGGATGTCGCCAACTAACACCAGCACCAATCTATCAGCGAGGGTCTCCAACCTAGGTTGGAGGCCCCATCGCTACTAGGTTGGAGGCCATCGCTACTAACAGTGCCCAAATTCGCAGGCTTTCAAGCCGAACCCCCATGTTCCACCTGGATTGGAGTGCGGTGTCCCAAATCCGAAAGAGACCAGGCCGACAGACCTGCAAAACCGAGCAAACGATCGACCAACATGCTTCCGCCTCCGAAATCGTGGCTATTTCAGCTGTCGGCTTTTCCTTTTCCAGTCGTGAACACTCAAAGCTGGTACCTGTTTATACCTTTTTCACTCTCGGCCATGTCCAAAGCAGCCATGAAACCTTCCAGAACCGCCAGTGATGGGAACAAGACCAGAGTCTCAGAGCAAACTGTTTGAGAAGTCCGGGTTTCGATGGACACAATACTAACTCATTCGGCCCATGAGCATCACGGGCATCCAAAAGCCTCTCTTCCATCGACGTCCATGCACTTGTTTGCGCATCTGTGAACACAAGCAGTGCAGCTTCCACTGGCCATCTTTCTTCGGCAGCTTTCCATTTGCTGCCGTTCAAGTCAAAGGATTTGGAGCCATAGAAGGAGCACAAACACCCCAATCTCCACTGGCCAAGTGCAGCACCTCCTCTCCACTGGCCAGCTTGATGGAAACGATTCCAAGACCTCCAAAAGTCGATGAACTCCTCCAGAGGAGCTGGCCATTCGCTGGTCTTATAGCCTATACAGGCATCCAACTAGGGATCCACTGCCACCGTACCTCAGGGTCGGTCTGGACCCTGGACCCTCCAATGAAATACATCAAAAAGTGTCTCCAATCACCTTCTTCTCAGAAAGTATCGGGCAGACCACCGAGAAGTGCGGACCGTCGTTTAGGGACGGATGCAAAGAACGACTCACCGCGGAACCGAAACAGCAGACGTGAAGTTACATGAAGGACTCACTAGTGGAAGTGGATAGCATGTCCCCTTAGATGACGAATCTCCTGCAAAGGGTATACTTAGCTGGGAATGGTGAGGAATACACTTCGGACCAGGAGTTGATCAGTTTCTTCCGTTCGAGGTCAGGTCCCTAAGCTCGCGACCGAACCAAAGCAGGCCTTACATTTTTCAGTCACCGAAGCAATCAGAAGATCAAGTTCGGTCATGAACTGAAGAGCCAGGATAAACATCTAACAATCCACGGGGAGGGTGAGATGTTGTTTGTGTTTGGTGCTTGAAGAACCAGGATATCTTGTGTTTTTACTTAAAAAGTCAGTGGATTCTTGCAATTCCATGGTAACTCGAATCAGGCACTCCCAAAAATGGACAGGGAGTCATGATGTGAGGGTCGGATTCATCATGGCTGCCCATATGAATAGGTTTTACAATCCACCTTGTTGGTATTCAGCTGCCTAAGTATCATGAGCATGATGAAGTTGAACATGACGAGTTAAATGTGAATCCTCGACACCACTTCCCTCGACTTGCTTGGGATTCTGCTATCATCAACTTTCCCTGGAAGTGCAATTTGCTTTGGCCACCTTCTTGCACTTCGAATCCCAATATTTCCCAGTCTGACTGGGATCAATTCGGAGGATTTGTCAATTCCTTGAACTGGAAAGTTGATGCTGGGCTGCTGTTTTCATACACTGAACTTGCTGTCCTGTTTCTTTTCCAGGGTTTTTCATGCGAGGCTTTCTGCAATGAGCATTGCACCTTTCGGGAACTGATCCAATGGTTCAAACTCTTGTGCTCGGCTGCCCGCAAGCAAACCTTGGTTTTCACACCAGGTCAACATGATTCACGTGCCCACCATTCCTGGGGGAAAACCATGCCCTCAGACTGCATTGTCGGTGCGGCACCTTTCGTGAGCAATGACTTTTTGCTTTTTCTCATTGAGGTGACCCGCAGTGTCACTAAAGCTGGGCTAGATGCTTGGGACTTTTTAGTTTCTGACTTTCGCTGTCCGTAGGACCTTTTCTCTCCATGTCCTTTAATTTGGTGCTTGCCCGCGGGGTGGGCTTCTTTGGTGGCTCTGCAGTGGAACGCTGCTAGCCGTGTCACACTCGACTGTGTGCGCGAGAGGAAGAATAGGTTTTACAATCCTGTTTTGTTTTGTGTTGTGCTTAACCAGTCCACACCCTAGCTCATGGTGCTCTCCAGTTCTTTTTCTGTTTAAAACCTTTTTGTTTACATATTCATCATCCAGTCTACGTTTAGGTCTTGACCGCCATGTCTTTCCGCGCCGCCAGGCGGACTTCTCACTGGACGGTTCTATTCGCACCCCGGCCTCGTCCTTTTTCCCCTCCTCTCCTGGCAAACATGCTGCACTTGTTGGACCTTCCAAAAGTGAGGCCTGTTTACACAGACCTGTTGGTGACCTCAAACTGGGACATCAAGTTCGGGCATCACCTTTGAAGGTCCTGGCTAGGTCATTTCTACACCAACCCAAGAGAGGTTACAAAACGCCCATCTTTGCCATGCGCAATTCCAAACGACAACACAAGTGCGAATCCATTCAGTTGACTAAAAAACATGTGTTTTCAACATGTTGTTTGCTTGCAACATGCTAGACGCTAGACACGTAAGTGCGAGGTCGTCTCACCACTTCCTCACAACGACACCATTTAGATCTGTTTGGTCATTGCTGGTTTGTGAACCTACATCATTTCGCGGTTTGTGACGGTTCTCTGGTCAAATCTGAAGACAAAGGCTGCGCAATGACTCTTCTTCCATGCGAGAAATCAACCACTGAAATCGTCATCATGTGCCGTCAGGAGCCCATTGCTTATGAAATGGTCTAAACCAACATGTTCATCTGGTAATCGGATCACACTTGCACATGCATATCAAAACGTTCAAAGGAGAACCGGTGAACCGTTTTCCTTAAAACAACCAGAAATTCAGACTCATGTTTTTGAGGGGTTCCTTCATGGCAGTTCCTTTCAAAAACCTGTCTTCTCCAACACATCACCGTTCGCAGTTGGGGAACCGAGTTTCCGCCCTCCTTCGGTCCGTTCCGCCCTCCTTCGGCCCGGCCTTTTCGATTCATGTAGGTATCCAAATCATGGTCCAGGGACTGGCGCTTGGGACGTTGTTCTTCGCTTTGGGGCGGTGAGCCCTATGACCCACAAGGACCCACAGGAACCCACAGGGACCCACAACCACCCACAACGACCCACATGATCACGACCAAAACCCAAACCCAAACCCAAACTCACTGGCGAGGCATGGTGCGAATCCATTTCTTTTTGGAATCCATGTTCTTTGCAACTACATCTGAACGGATTTCCATTTCGGAGCTTTCGAACTTTTCTGACATCATGCAGTTCCAGCGACGCAAACTCACGACATCCGCGGACGGGAGGTATACCCAAACGGAATGGTACATGCCGTTTGCAATAAAAAACATTAGACCAAACGGCCCATGCCTGTCCCAAACGCCAAGCATCCGATCGAAAACCAATATGATGTTCACCCGCTGGTCTGATGGTTGAATTCCACCATGTCCAAACCAACAAGGATCCAACGTCCCTGGCGTCAAACGTGGATCATCAATATTCATCCGCCATGACGCAAGAAGGTCATACAATTGCAGCAAGATACGTCCACTCCCCCGGAGTGGTATTTGATTCCTCCGTTGTTTGTTCATTGACCGTCATGCCAAAACAGTTCCCTGACAAAGAGCAGTTGTCGCCTTTGTTGCTTGTTAGGCTCCCATGAGCCACCATGCAGCCGCCCAGCAGTTGCGTCCATACTGTATATAGGTTCCGGGTCTTGAAGGGCCTCCTGTTTCGAAAACCACACTGCAATACAAATATTTAAACCTTGTAACTTAAATAGGAGCAAAACTCTTCAACAGTGGGATTCCCCCAGCAGGTCGTAGCAAAATACAAGCAATTTAAATGCATATACCACGTAAAGTCCATGCCAACAGAGGCTGCCACAAGAAGCCCTCCGGCTTCCATTGCATCCCTGCACTCGATTCAAGTTGAAACGGTGAAATCCAACACTACCAATGCAAGACCAAATTACAAAGCATTTGCTTTGTAAACAAATTTCAGATTAAGCTGCGGTGTTGAGCCGCAAGCAACGGCTGTGTGTTTCAAATGGGCCCTGATCAAGTCAGGCGCACGCAGCAGCTAGGTGAAAGTCTGGACCAGAATGACCAGAAGAAATGCCACAATGTCTCCCCAAACATCCACCTAGACTTCGACTGTCTGGCAGTTATAAGTGCGCAAACAGTTTGCAGGAACGTAGTGTGGCAAGCTACCTTCGACAGGGAAGCGCGTAGTGGGATCAATGTCTTGTCGCGGGCTTTCCTGCACCAGCTGTCAAACAGGACAATCCATCAACAGCAGTCGCACCACTGCAGGCCCTCGAAAATGCACAGGATGCAACAATCAATGAGGCTTCACCACGCAATACCGCGCGCATCCAATATTTCACTGAGGTGCAAGATGACCTGCAATGCTTCGACAGTGCAGCAGCAGCAGCAGTAGCGAACACGAGCTCGAAAAATATTGTAGTAGTGTCCATACCCGCACTTCTCCAGCTGCGCAGCGCGTCCGCCACAGAACCCGCAAGAAGTAGTCGCTCAAGCGCGGCAAGCTCATCAGCAAAGGCACCGCGCCCGGCACACTCATACACTGATGAACTGGAGGCTTCCGAACATAATGACGGGAATGCCACTCATGCTCAATTTGGTGGAGATGGTTGGCTTACGGAGCGCTACCACATGAATGCTTGGGTGGCACAAAGTGCTTGCAGGGCAAAGAGTGTGGACAAGCACCGGCGCCATACCAGCTCCACCCGATGCAGAGTCACAGGTTCTTGATTCTTATGCTGTCCAGCGATTCCTCAGAACCGTGCGCAGCCAGCGCTTTGCCAACCGTGGGTACAGGATTGATCAGCGCTCCAGGATCAAAGACGCTGTGCCCAAGCAATCCATTGCCAACCTCTTTCGCGATGGTGAGCGACATGGGAAATCCTGGGAAATCCAAATTCTGGTTGCTCTGCATAGCGGCTGGGCAAGTGTTGTTGCTAGGCTTGCAGATGCTGGGCATTGACAGGCAGCATTGACAAGCCAGAAATTCTGATCCATCAATCGTGCTTTTTCGGGACCTATCCTGCAACGCTGCGCGAAAACAGATTGCCACCATCGCCTGGTTCACCCCCGCAGTGTCCAACACGAATCGCATGAAGTCCAAGAAGTCTTTCTGTCCGCCGCGTGATGATGACCGTGGTCAAGATGTCCGCAACGAGGAACTTCCTCAACAAGTAGCGTAGATTCATCAAGCAGTGTAGCATCTGGTTACGAATGCAGCAGCCACAAAGAATGCAGGAATGTCGCCATCCATTAGCCCCAACTGCTGAGGTTGCACCCACGAAAAAGCAAGGCAACGAAGCAGCTGCATCTGTACAGGATGGGGTAACAAATGTTGCATGGCCTTTGAGTAAAAGAGTTGTCTTCGTTCACGGTTGGTAAGTGTGGAAAACATAGTGAGTATGCACTGCACGCTCTTTGACACCTCTTGTCACTCTTGGGCCATCATGCGCTTCAAAACAGACGATGCTCAGGTGAGATGTCTTCACTCCAATGTGAGGTATCTGCGGGAGAGAAAGGTTGGGCGGAAATGATCCCACGCTGCGGGCTGCGTCGCAAACCCATCACATGATAGTGAAATTCAAACTCCAATTCAACGTCTTCCGTGTAACAAAAGACTCGATGCTCTGGAGGAAATGTTGGCGTCACGGATCGATGTTTTTTCCACGAAAACCCTGGAGTCCCCCACCAAAGAAGCCCACCCCGCAAAGCAGGAACTCTATGCGCAAGGCTTTGGCAGTGTTCCACTTTGCTTCAATATCTTCCGTGCTTTCAAAGGCCTGGCAGAAGCATTCCAATAAACGCTGGACGGACCGATTCGAAATATACAGTTTCTGGTGGGGCGACGTCTCAAGGTCTTGCTTTGCACGACTGTTGACTAGGATGGAACCAAGCATTAGAGCATACCAGCTGGCCACAAATGACAGCCCAACTTTCTTGATGCAGCGTTGGTCCAAGACATCATGGACAACGGAGTTGAAACATGTTGAAACTAGGTGGGAGCAGCACGAACACCCCCACCTGGTATGATCTGACTGCAGGAACATGTTTATCTCTGAAAGCGTGCGAGATTTGGCAACCGTGGGGCCGTCTTGCCAGTGCTGCAGTATGCTCCCAGTGACACACTTTCAGTTGTCAAAGGCGCGAAGCAACTACCGACTCTGACGGTCCTGTCACCCAATTTGCGTGGATAATCGGATTATCACTATAGTTCACTATTGGGTTCCCACTATAGATACACCTGGGCCTGGGTCTTGCGAACTCGCAACTATCGAAGGATGACTGCGTGATTTGGTTCGGCCCAGCAGGCGGAAGCACCGACTATATATACATATACTGGAAGGTTCTGGACTATGCACGTTCTGAGGATCGCATGCCAATGAGCTTCGGCGTGGGTGTGAAACCGAGTGAACTGGTCATTCAAAGTGGTTGGAAAGCGCTTGCCAGAGCAGTTTGCGGCCTTGTGATGGGCATGTTGCGTGTTATGCGGAAGAGAGAGGTACCAAGCTTCCCGCACCAGTTTCATGTTTGGCGCTCATGGTTGTGAAACCACTCTATAGAAAAAGGGCTACAAGGGGTTCAAGGGGTATATATATTCTCAACAGTGTTGGCTCTTCATCTGGATTCAGCCCGTGACTTGCAAAGGATGGGATCAGGAAGTCAGGAAGTCAACTAATCAGTGCGCCATTGGCAAATCAAAACGAAGCAGCTGCAGCTTTATACAGCTTCTGTTGTGGGTACTAGGAAAGAATTTAGCTCTTGAATTAGGTTCTTCTGTGATTCCTGAGTTTCATGGTACCCTTGGTTCACAGGGGGACACAGTGAAAGAGCTTGTTTATTATCCAGAACCCCACAGTGTTGCGCCCTTGCTGGTTTTTTCTTCTCGGTCCTTCTCCTCCTCCTCCGTCTCCTCACACGCTTACTGTACCTTACTCACAAACACCAACAACTCACTCACACCAACATACTCACATGAAGTCACTCACACCAACTTACAGTACTCACACAATTTACATGCACCAGCTTACTCACATCAACTCACTCACACCAACTTACTGACACTTACCGCACCTGTCTGCTGCTCCCTAAGGGTCTGCTGTTGCTGCGGGTCCGCGCTGGTTCCCCTTGGTCGCCGTCCACTGCAATCGGCGCTGGTTCCATGTGGTCGCCGCCGCTCCTCCACCCCCTTCGTCGCCACGGCTGCTCTTCTGGGGGGGTCTGCTGTTGCTGCGGGCCGGGCTTCCACGTTAGTCACGTTAGTCTCCTCCTCCTCCTCCTCCTCTTCCTCCTCCTCCTTCAAATCACGCACACACACACATCAACTCAGTCACACCAACTGACCCACACCCACTCACTCACAGCTCAAATCACACAAGCCCAAGAAGTTGATACCAGCCTTCCGAACATGTTTTGGGAGATTGACATTGTTGGCGTAACGGGTGCTGCTTAACGCAAGGCCAACATCACACACTTAGAAAAGAGCTTGAAAGAGCACAGACGGGTGCTCATCAGATCTGCAATTAGACCTTCGCAGTTGCTGCAATAGACCTTGGCGGACAATCGGAAGGCGAGAAGTCCGAAAGTAGCAGAATGGGTTTAACATGGGTAAAACAAGAATTGCGGTGAAACAAAGAATTGGAACAGCTTGATACCACACCATTGGCGGGTACGTGGCGGTGATCAGCCATGATATCCGCATGCACTGTGGCTACTTCATGGGACCATGGCTCACAGTACATGGATGGCTCCAGTGCAGGCTTTACATGGATTTATGTTGTCCCTTTGGAACAGGCTTCGACACCCAAACACAAACACATCCATCCTTTCCCACTACTCCATCCCAATCGGTCTCACACGAAAGCTTGACATGTGGCATCCTCCGTGTTCCGTCTTCAAGCTCAGCTCCAAGGTCCAACGGTTCTTTTGTCGGATGACGCTTTGAAGCCCGGAAGGCACATATGACGTGCGGGCTTGCAGTGCTCACGCTGTGCATGGCATGTCGCGAGCTCGCAAAGCCTGGAAGACATTTCAAGGTGCCAGCCACTTGGAAGGGGGTCAGGCGTGGTCGACCAATAGGCCTTCCAGTCGTCTGACGGACTCCCAAACCGTGGGAGATCCGAGCCAGGAAGGGGAAGAGTTCCACCTGAAAGCTGCAGTACGGTGCTGGATAGCCCAGTCGGCAAGAAAAAACTGGATGCTTGATTAGAGTCCTAAATGATGGATGCAGCCTCCAAATTTGCCTACTTCGATGAAATTCTGATCAAATGTTCAGGGTTTGCACGGTGCTGGGTGAGTGGGTCTGCAAGGCAGTACTCACTTGTAACATTATCCAAGGTCATGCAATTGTCCTGTGTTGCTTTCATGATGCAGCATTTGTATTGAATGGTGGCATGGGATGCCGAAGACTTACCAGCTTGCACTTGCACACGGGAAAAAGCATACCTTTCCTGTGGCGGCAGAACTGGGCTTATTCGAGTGATAGGCGCTCCTTCCTGTCACCCTTTGTAGGATTCCACATCTGTCTGGAAGCACATGCTGTCCTGTTGAATCAAGGATCGTCTTTCCTTCTGTTCAGGAAGGTGTGTTGTCTGTGCTGTTGTCACAAGATCGTTGGCATCTGTCTTGAGATGTATTGGCAATATGTCTCCACTGCAGTTGGCCCAAAGACCTCGCAACAAGCAAGTTCCACAGCATGGCTATGCAAAAAAAGTTCTGCAACTCTAGTGGATCGTGTTGTTGTTGTAATCCCCACGTGCTCTATCTATCTGATTCTGAACATGTGTTTTCAATCTGTGAATTCCTTATCTTCCTTCGTCCGGTCCCCTTGGTAGTTCACGGGTTCGTGTGTATCGCAGCGTGGTCGCAGCGCCCGGCTGGACTGCCTCGGTTTCCGACTTCCGACTTCCACCTCGTTTCCGCAACACGTCCTTCCACCAAAGCAATCTGCTGGAACATCGAAGACAATGCCAATGACTCCGACCTCCAAAACCTCTGAAACGGACCACAAGGTCTTCGCTCCCGGAACACCATTCATGTGGCACAAGGTGGCCGACTTGGCCGACATAGGCGAAGCAAGCAGAAGAGAAATGCTCCAAAGCACGATTTCGCATTCATCAGGTGAGTGGTGTTTTTTTGGGGTGCTTGGAAGTATACACTCCGCAGCATGTATACGCGAGCGCCTACGCGACATATCAAAAGTATGTGAGGTAGCCTACGCGAGCATGTTCCAGATCGAGGGTTTTGTTGAGGTACCTACGCGGTCGACTACGCGAGGCCTTTTTTGCACGCTGCCTTCACGGAGCAAATGCAGATGAAGAAGATGAGGATGCAGAAGAAGACGAGCTTGAAGATGAAAACAGCAAAGCCTGTGCCTGTCGGTCAGTCTGTCCTCGGCTTTTTTCAGCAAAGTCTCAATGTCCCCGGCAGGGGCAACAGGCTGATGAGGCTGAATGTGCTTCTGGGCCATATGTCGTCGTACGAGTTCATTGACATCGCCAGGCTCTGGCCCAGGAGGTTGAGGGATGTTCGCCAAGGAAATGTTGTTCGGCCTACACGGCTTTCCCGAGCAGCAGACTTTGGTTCAGTTGAGGTTGCGTGCTTGTACTCCTTTCTCCCTATGTTGTACCCAAAGCTATTCAAGGTCTTCAAAGCTATGCAGGAGCTCACTGTGGCGCAATCCATTTCTTGAACGCTGACCTTGGGGAGATGTAGTTGGCTATTGTGGGTAGCGTACTTCTCCCGGAGCTGACCTAGAGAGCGAAGTAGGGTCTCAGCCTGACTGGTGGTGAATTCGACCTGGTTAAAGACAAGGTTGCGTAGTGTCTGCCCCGTCTTCTTTTGAATGACCTGCCCAACAAGCTGGAGGAAAGAAGCAGCCGCATCAAGGGAAGCGGTTTTCTCCATGATGGTGTCTGCAAGCGACAGAGCGAGTTCTTTGCGGTACTTGGGCGTGAAGCCGTCCCATGTTTTCACGGCGCGGCTCAAAGAGACAGACACGAAAAATGACGACTACATGCTTGCTTAAACGGCTCACATTATAGGTTACAAGCATGAAAAACAGAAGTGGGCCAACCCCTTCCAAACCAAGCCGCAGCCTACGCGAGCATCTACGCAAGGCATACGCGAAGCATACGCGGGGTTTGCCTGCATCTTGTCACACGTTTCTACAGTTGTACCGGTACTGTACACACATGCACATATGTGAATGACCATGGAAATTAGGCTCAGAAAGCTGACTGTACCGGTTTGTTCAAAAGTTGACAAACTCAAAGAAAACCATGTCACAGCCCATCTCGATGGGCGCGCAATACATTTTCCTCAGCAAACCCCTGTTGTCGAAATCCCTCACACAGTGTTCGCACTGTGATCCCCAAGAAGCATACAGCAACAAGGTCACTCATATCCCTCAAGATCTACTTCCTCAAACTTCAAGTACCAGCCACCAAGCAAGTCAACTAAAGGATGAATATCGGTCCATTGTTCTTTCCGTGTTACAGGTTATTAGATTTACTCCAAGTTACAACTACGCAAATCTGCCTACGCGAGGCACTACTATGTTTTCCTACGCGGTTGCCTACGCAAGCTTACGCCCCCAAGCAGAATAGCCTACGCAGCATCATGAGTAGTTCCACTTTTGTATAAACTCTTTCATAGACAAAAAAACCGCTGCTCAGGTGATGATGGGTCAAAACATGTCAAACCTCAACACTCCTACAGTAGCTGGTAGATCATTTCTAGAATGCAAAAAACTTGACATGTTTTCTCCCACACGTCGCAGTTCGACGAACTGAACGCGTCCGACGACCTCCTCAGCCACGCCGACCTGCCTTGGTTCCCCCGTCGCCCTGGCAGGCACGAAACGTGCTTCCGGTCGTGGGTCGCTGAGTTCAGGCCTTTCCCGGTCCAAGAGGGATTGGTTCGGGTCCAAGCCCCAAAAGCAACAGAGGTTGAAGGACCTGAACTAGACTATCCCACTATAGGTACCCCAGTCAGGTCCTAGTTCAGGTCACTTAACCTCTCTTGGGAGGATTCGGGGTACGGCCCATCCGGTGACTTCCACGCGAAGTCGACGTGTTCTTTCTCACGCAGTCGCACCATGTGCACCAGGTCTTGCGAGCCATTGGAATGGGAGCCATTTGGTCACTGAAAACATGTACAAACCAAAACACGATCCTCCCCGCCTTCTATGCGAATCTATGCGATATATGCTCGTCATGAGTCCTAATGCTGATGTGCGCTCTTGTCATAGTGACTTGTCATTGCAGTTGCCGTCAGTTGCCGGCTTTGCGGGTTTGTCAGTACTGTTGTCATTGCAGGTTGTCAGGCCTCTCTCATTCCTCATGCTATGTGTGGCGTATCCGTCGTTGCTGTCACCAAACACTGGCGACTTCGTGATAGCTGTCTTCCTTGCGACTTGCCACAATGTATAGGTGCTTGCCGTCAACACGACACCTTGTCTTTAACTGTTGTCGTTGCGGCCGTGGTTTCCTGCTTGTTCCTGTCGCTGTTGCCAGAGTGGATCGTGGATCGTCTTGGCACACTGATGTTGTCAGTATATGTTTGTCTTGATGCTGCATATTGCCATCCGGGCTTGTCATCTATGAGGTTGCAGCTTGCAAATTGCTGTTGTCTGTGTGATCTTAATTGCTTCCCTCTATAAGCATCGAAGAGCGTGTGGTCCGTGGTCAATACTCGAATTGATCCTGGCGCATTTTTGCAGTTTAGAAACCATTGACTAGAAAAAGGCTATGTATACCATGCAGCACCTCCAACAGGTCACCAATTGAAACCTAGCTTTTGGGGCCCTTCCCAAACCTCCATTTCGGAGACCTGTTGGGTTCGGTGCTGGTATGCATCATATGCTACAAAAATGGGCACATTCATCAGTCAAGCCATGTGCCTGTTCATTCCCTAGGGGTTCCAGTACCGAACCGGTACCGACGACTGGACCCGGTCGGTCCAGACCGTGTCAACGGGTGGATCCGCGGCTTGGCCGGACCGGACTCGACTCCGGAAACCCCCGATGGCTTGGGCGGAAGAAGGAAAAGCAAAAGGAAAGAAGATGAAAGAAGGTATGAATTTATATATTATAGCCCAGTGAGTCCTGGGAACATATAGGACTTGCTGGGTAGTGTTTCATATAATGTTTAATATAGTGTTTCATATTGTCTAATATTGCTTCTGTTTATGTTTGCATTCCAAAGGGAAAGTTTTTCTGTGTGTTTTTTGTTGTCCAAGAGGCCCTGGAAGAGGGAATTTTAAGGTTGATCTTTGCTCCTGTCCATCTGTAGACGCGGCCATTAACTAGATCTAGTTCATGACCGCTTCATAGGAAGCTGATAGGAGAAGCCTGGGTCATTAGCCAACTTCTTTTCCCCTGACAGTTGGTGCTCTTGAGGTCCAATTTACTCCATTACACCCGCCTCTTTCAGGTCCCACAGGTCTACTACTCCCGCTCCCACCAAACCCGGCTCCAGCTCCCACCGACTCGCGTCTCTCCGGCTGCCGCCTCGGTCGAGCGTCCGAAGTACTTCTCCAGATCGGCGTCGAGGTCCTCCTGGGCGTCGACGGACGCGTCGACGCATCGCGTCGAGGCGATGCGTCCGCGCGGACGCGGCAGCGCGGGACGCGTCGGACGGGGGCGCCGAGGTGAGGACGCATAGCGATGACGAGACACGCAGAGAGATGATCAATGGCGGAATGGGAGGGGTTGGTATGATGGGAGGAGCCGTGTCCTCACACCACTAAACCAGCCAGGCTGCTTTGAAGACCTGGCCTTTGTAAGGATGCTGGAGACTGGCACATTGAAGAAATGGATTTGAATAGGGCTTGCCCCATCACCAATGGGTGACTGAACCAGGACCAGAACCAGTGAACCTTCCAGAATGTCCTACAGGATTCACCTGTTTCTTTCAACACGTTTCGATTGAGAACTGTTTCGATTGATGGGATTCCTACGGCCACCAAGTGGCCTTGACCAATTCCATTCCGGTCAAGAACGCCATTCAGTCCTGGTGGAAAGACTGAAAAGGTGACCGTTCGATTTACAAGAGAGACGATTCATGAGAGTATTCCTTTCATAGTAACCCTAGGGATCCAAGCACCTTCTCAGGTTCGGTACGACTGGACCCGAACATAGCACCCACATCACAGCGTCTCCCTGCTCACTAAACCTGAGAAGGTTCGACTGGATACCTATAGATCCTATAGTGACCTTGATCACTAAGGCCATAGGAGGCCACCAAAAGATGTGCCAAATATGTGATATATATATATATATGTGTCTGTTCCGTGTGCCAAAACAAAACAGGAGCTCCGGTCGGGCCAGTCGAAACGATCCAACGACGAGGGTCGAAAAGGAAACGCATGGGGATCGGCTTCTTCGAGACGCCGATCCGGGGCCCTCCAAACCCACTGGAAAGACGGAGAGCCTGCAGAAAGCAACACAAAACAGGCCAGCACCACCCAGTTCGGATGGTTTATAACGTCCCCTGTTACGATGTATTCTTCTATCTACGGTGGATAGAAACCAGTGAGGTGTCTCCTGGTGAAGGAACCATCCAAGTTCCCACCGTTTCGATCCCATCGGCTTGCGTCAACATGAACCGTCGATGTTTCTACCAGGCAACGTGTCTCAATCAAGTTTCCCTTAAGTTCACTGGCAAGAAATGGAGCCTAATGAAGTTCACTTGCTGGCGGTCACCCAAGAAACTATGACAGGGTTTCCTTTCCCGTGAAGATCAATAAACCATTTGAGTGTTGGAACATGGAGACGCCATGTTCAGGTGACAAACAGAACGGAACATGCCACCGCTGGATCCGCTCGATCGATCTCACCAACTTGGATTGCTGGTTTAACATCCACCAACGAGCCATCACCAGTCATGGAGGCCCATGGAATCCCTGAGAACTTCAGTGATCCCGGGTTCCGGGTGGACTGGCTGAGGGTGATCTTGAAGATCCTTTCTCAAAAATCCTCGGGACTGGACGGTCACATCTACTTTTACCATCTTTTACCGAACATGATCCAAGTGACTAGTGTAGATTCTTTATATATATATATATATACGTATATATATATATATATATTCATATCCACAACTCATTTGGATTGGAACAAAAACCACACATCTTCATTCATATATGCCAGCACCGAACCCGACAGGTCTCCGATGGCTGGAGCTTTGGGAAGGGCCCCTAACAGGTCAGTTTTCAATTGGTGACCTGTTGGACCAGTTGGCCGGTGCTGGTATGGTTCATCTGTGGGCTTGGACGTTGGAATCCAGCCTCATGGAGTCTACGGCCCGGGTCATATCCGGGCGGTCCGCCGGGACAGTCGGGGCGGTCCGCCGCGCCTTGGTCTTGTAGGGCTCACGGTCTCGCCGCCGGCCACCCTGGTGGAGTGGAGTTCAGTTGGGGGATGATGAAAGGTCCACTCTCTAAGCAGTCGAACCCGGTGAAGTCTCAAAAACGCCAGACTTGGCTATCCATCTTGGTCCACTAAGGGTACCCTAAACCAAAAGGACTAAGTCCAACTGACGACAGTCAACGCCAACGAGGAGGAGGCCGATCGCTCTGGTTCAACCGCCCCTCCCCTCGCCGACGCCTGACCCCAAGAGCCACCATTGTTGTCCTGCAACGCTCGGACGCCGGCAGTCTACATGCCAGAGGTTGAAGGACCTTATAGACTATCCCAGTTCGGTACCCCAGTAAGGTCCTAGTTCAGGTCACTTAACCTCTCTTGGTGCGGCACCTAACTATGTGATCGAATGGAAAAGACAAAGTACAAAAAGCGGCTCAATGCTTAAGTGGTGGTTTATTGCTGCCCCACCGAAGGTAGACCGGCAGGTCGTGCCGATTGGACCACCCCACCGGCCGTGTTCCACGTGCGACCCTCAGCCAGAATCGCACAGAAATCCGGAAGGCTTCGGTGGACGCCGTTGAGGTCGGGTCGCCACACAAAATGATCCAAAAAATATGAATCAATCACCATCCCTTGTGGCTCAGCCCACTCAGTAGCGCTACCAGAATTCTACCGATCCACCTCTATCTTGAAGCAGACCCTTCTGCTCGCAACTTCGTTTGGGCACTTGGAGCCTGGGAACCCAAGGGGTGAGCCCTTCACACATGAAAACCTTATGGCAACTCCCCCAAACCATGATCCCACCAGTGCACGCACGTCCCAACCACGACCGCGCCTTCCAGTCATCGGTCCTGGACCTGACGGATGGACCGGATGGACGGAGTGGACTGGTTTCGTGTAGAGAGATAGCCTGGAAGTCGAGTCGAGTCGACCATAACATGGCGAAGGATCTTCATGGGATGTTTTGGGGTGAAACGCCTTAGTGAAATGGTTGTTCGGGATGATGATTAGGCTATTAAAGCAAGGGGTGCTTCGATTTTCTAGGGTATATAGAGATGGATGGAGTACCAGCACCACCCCCTGAAGATGACATGTCCATCTAATAACCACCCGAAATGGGTGGTGCTGGTATATATTGCCTGGTTTGATTGATTTTGGCTCCCATGCTGTAGAGTACTTTGGAGGGTCCAGGTACTTCTGATTCATCTGGTGAGTTCCCCAATGTTGTTAAAGATGTGAGTCTTTTTTACAGGGGCTTCTGGATCCCGCTTTGTCAGTGGCTTGATTCAGGTTGATAGGGTTCAGCAGTCAAATGCACATTCTTTATTCCATACCAGAACCCGACTCAACAGGTTACCACCTACCACTTTGAGGTCTCCCTTTCAGTCACCATGTCGGAGACCTATCCAGTCGGGTGCTAATACCTGCAGTCGACCTGTTCGTACAGTCCACCTGTTCGTACCACGGGTCGAACGTGTATACAAGTGTATAATTAGGCACAAACACCTGTTTTAAGAGTGTCATGTCATGTCCCATTGTCGGTATTTGGAAGGGTCGGTATAGAAGTACCTGTTCTTTTTGTTCGGGTCATGTCGTATTTTCTATTGTATGAACGAAGTAGGTCTTGACACCTGATCACCTCGTCGTTTTCAGGCTTCCAGAATGCGGTCCACCGCTGGGTCCCCCAAATGGACCTGGCCAGGTCCGGTCCGGCACGGTGTCTCAGTTGAAGCACTCTCTCTGCTCTCTCTGCACTGACATCTCGATGTCTGGAGTCTTCTCATTCACATGAAGAGCACAGATGTCTGGCCCTGAACCACACCTCCACCAACCACGCCGATTTCGCTCATCGACAAATCATGCCTCTTGGTGTTTGACCAATAAGCCCCTGGCGGGAGCAAGAGAGAGGATGAGGCAAGTGGGGCCATGAGAAGAACACTTTGGTTGCGTTCATGGAGAAGGTCATAGAAGGACACTTGACGTTTTTCTTGACTGTCGGCCAGTTGGCCAAACATTCCAACCCAGCTCGATTTTGAAGATAAGTACTGTAGAAGAAAGCCACCAATTGGGAGTCCGAACAAAAAAACGTCTCATGTGGATGATCAAGTTCCTGATAGTGAAGGAATACCAAGAGCCTCTTCCGATAGCAAATGGATCTTCTTCCCCCAACATCCCACCCGATTTCTCGGAGACTGGTTAACACCTTCGACACGATCAAAGTGCCAGGTGATGATGGATCATCATGGATCCATGGACACTGCCAGGTTACTTAGCGATGCTTCTTCAAATGCTAAGATATGCTAAGCAACCAGAGCGTCCGCATCCAGCATCCAACTCGAGGCGTTCTGGTCCAGCCAAGCATGTGTGGGAACACCAATCGGCACTCGAGGCGTTGCGGTTGATCAAGAGCAGGTGAACTGGAAAGCAACAGGTGTTCTTGAAGATTCTTGTCATGTTGAGAGTCTCGAGACACTCAGATGCTACAAACCTGAACGTTTGGACATGCCGACCTTGCATAGCTGACATCTGAACACCCTTTGAAGTCAGAATCCCCCAAAAGCACCTGCACATCTAAGCAACTATAGCTTGGCCTCGGCGAAGCGTCACTAAGGACTCTCTCGCTTGGCCTCCCCCCCCAGTCCCCGGCCGGTTCTGCGGCCTTTGTTGCTATAGCCCGAATCCTTTCGGCGAGAATCAGACCGAAGACGAAGCCCGACAGGACCCGGTCGGGACCCGGTTTCCCGTGCAACGGACCGGTTTCCCGAACGGGATCGGTACGGATGGAAGGATTCACCCGTGGCATCGGATGCCAAAGAGAGTGAACTGGCGTCGGATCGGGTCCGTCTGGTCTGTGGCTCTTCGGATCCGTCTGGTCTTCAGTCGAACATCGCTGAAGCCCATGGCTTTGGGTCCTACCCAGCCATGGTTTGGGTCTGAGCTTTTGTGGTGCATTTTGGTGTCCCAGTTGCATTCTGGTCCTAGAAGTTTTGGTCGGCACGGCAGGGCAGTCAAAGCAACAGGCCGCGGCTTGACTCTTGAACACTTTTTGGGGAAGACTTGACTTTGAAGACGGGGTGGTTGCTTGGGGCTATACAGCTTGGAGGAAAATACTTGGCATAGCAATCAGTCTACAGGTAACCCACCTCTGATGAAGCGGAACCCCCTTTAAGGTGTAAGTCAGGTTTGTAGAAATCTGTACATACAAACCAGAAGCCTGGAGCCCTAAAAGTCTAAGAATTGTTCAAAACCAAATTCAAAATCAAAACATCACTATTATTCTATGTTCAATGTATTAATAATAATGGCATTCTTGCATCCAGTGCGAACCCCAACAAAAAAAAACTCTCTGTGCGTTGTCTCTTCTCTTCTCTTCTCTTCTCTCTCCCTCCCTCTATCCTTCATTTCCAGTCCTTCCACGAGTCGTCGTTCCATGACCGTTTGTTTCCTCAGCGACACGCCCCACGGCGCAAGCGCGCCCGCCGGTCACCGGTCGTTGGGCTTGGTAACTGGTCCAGAGCTCTATAAACTAGCTACGTTCGTAGCTTCTAGCTTCTATAGCTACGTTTGTAGCTTCTTGTTACTTTGGTCAGGATGTTTAGATCTTGCAAACGTGTGGTACAACTACACTCTGACGAACATGCTCACATGGAAATGGATGGGGGGTGGAAGAGCCTTAAACAGCTGGTGCCATCTTATCTTCCATGTGAGCGTGTTCGCAGGAGTGGCGTATCCAACTTGAATATGACTTTCTGATCCCATTTTTGGATTTGGATCCATGGCTCATCAGAATCCTTGGGAATGTCGCAGAACCGGGTTGTCAACGGCACCTCAGAGCATTCGATTCAAGTACTTTCTGAAGAAAAGGGTCTAAATAGGGCGGCAACCGCCCATGGTTTGGCGACCTGGCCGTCTTAGTTAAAGTCGTGGAACTTGAGAATTGGCCGGAACCACATGAAATTCAGCCATACAAGCCCGATAGGAACACTCTGGATCCAGGATTTTCTGATCAACCATCTAGTTTTCGGATTGCTGAAAGGATGTGCTTTTGGGATGCCTTGATCAACGCCACCAACCGTTGAACGATCTGGGCTGCCGCAACCCCAGCTCATCACCGATCTATACCTCCGGACCGAACGAGATGCATACGCTGCATGGAAACCGTGTGTGGTGTGTATCGATTAGAGGAGACGAGAAGAAGAGTTTCTATCGGCCTTTGATTTGGTTCTACTAATATTTAAACGACTCTACACACTGTCCTTTGTACCAGTGTTGTTTGTATAGATATAGTATATAGTTATGTTTGCAGATGTTTGCAGGGTTCTCTTCTCTTCTGTTTTTTCTTCTCTCTCGTGGCGTTTCAGCACATGCTTCAAGCTCTACCGTTTGTGCTGGACCGCAGGATCGCAGGATCACCGCACGCGCTGCTCAGAAGCCTCGAGTCCGGTCAAGTACAGGCACGGCACGACTCAGAATCGCTTTCAAAGAACACATTTCTCAACATTCCCCTCAAAATCGAACTTCAAGTCTAGCAGCACAACTTTAGAACAGGTCGCCCAAGAGGCAATGATCTCACTGTTGCTCCAAGAGGCAACCCTTTTAGCCAACCCAAACCCTCACCCATTCTCACCCACTCCTCGCCTCGCCGGGAACGCGTCCGCGGCGAGGACTTCTTCGCTCCGCGGCGGGGGACGTTCGATCCGCTCTACCGGACGAGTCAAGCGACGTGCGCGAGCGAGGACAGCGAGTCGCGTGAACGGTGCGGTGTGGTGTTCCCCAAAACTACTATACATACTATGGTACAGGCCAGCTTTGGGTGATGATGGGTGTTTTTTAAAAATCAGACCCCCAACCCAAGGGCTTGGGTCTATTGCCCTTCTTCCAGTGGGTCGAACTGGCAGGTCTACGGATATATTTAGAGCACAAACACACCCGTAGTGTAGCATAGAGTCATTGACGCCAGAGATGTCTTGGGCTCCATGATCGATTCACTTCCACCCTCCAAATACTATAGTGATTCAATCGCATGATGGAACGAATAATGGTGGACACGGGTGGAAATCCAATGATTCTCCACCATGCCTTCACCATTCTGAGGAGAAGCAACACACACTTTGCAAAAATCTCTAAGTGTGGAACCCCAAGTTCCGGAACAGCCACATGAGAAAACACACATGTCGAAAACAAATGGAAAAAAGAAGACACTACATGAAACAACATGATACATGAAACAAATATCGACCTTCACATGTGTTTGTTGAAACAAAATATCGACCGTCCACCTTCCACCAGTCCAAGGTGTTCACAGCACGCGCCCTGCCCGCGTTGTGCAGTCTTTTTTTCGGCAGCACTCGCTAGTTCTTCTTCCCCAAGGCATCCTTCACAGCAGTACCGACCTGAGGATGGGATATGGGCGGATGAGGAGGTGTACAGTGCTGGCCCAAGGGTGGCTCTGTATAAAAGTACATGACAGGATGAACGTGTGACTAGCTAGGGAACATCATGTATAATTTTCTGAACTTCCTTTACTTCACTCAAAAACTACAATGTCAAAATGTTCGTCGAATGGTGGGAGACGGTGCACAACAATGACCCTTTCTGGATCATAGAATGATCATAGTACCCACAAAAATGAAGATCTGATGGTCCTGGTTCCTGGTTCTGGAGATCATCCTGGCACCTGGATGCACCTGGTTACCCAATGAACGTCACTGGTTCTTCTGGTCCTTCACCCTGGCTTTCCGGGCGCTCCCGGCAGTGCCCGGGCGACCGGTCGTTTGCGGATGTGTTTCGGAATCAATCCCTACAGATCAGTGAACAGTCCTCATCAGTCCAGAGTTCTGGAGGCTTCGATGGGCCTGAAGGTAGTACCTTTGTTTGTCATGAGCTATTTGGTGCCTGTAGCCTCAAATGAAGGAAAGCATGGGCAACTGGAGCCAAGGGATTGATTTGGTGAAAGCCAACAGTCCATGGGAAGAGTTCACAAAGGTATCATGGCTGGTATTTCGAAACGAATCACCAGCCTTGCTGGATGGTATATATATATAATATAGTATCCTCCAGTTGGATCATTGAACGCCCAGCTCCACCGGTCTCCCGCCCAGCTCCACCGGTCTAGCTCCCCGGCCGTCTCGACTGCTCCACTGGTGAGCTCCACGATGGTGAAGGTCCTGCCGGTGGCGGCCGGAGTGAACGGCGGCTGCATTCGACGCCGTGGGTCAGAACACCATGACCAGGGGCGAAGTAGAGAGGGGAAGAGGGCAAGAAGAAGAAGAAGGCCCTGCTTGTTTTAGGTGTTGGATGAAGTGATTGATAATAACATCCTTTTTTCCGAGAAATCAGCCGGTTTCAGTCTGTAGGTCTGTCATTGTAATTCTACCGCTCTACCCATTCTGCTTGAGGATCTGACTACACCTTTGATACCAGAGTTGTCAATGAACACGCAGTAACTAGTCTGCTCTTGGTCGACACCAAGGATTCTTATAGCAGTTTCCTAGCAAAAACCACTCCTATATGCTCCTATAGATCATCAAAACTCCTTAAAGAAGCATCACAAAGCGCCCATGAACACAAAACCTTCGAAAGAAATCTTACCTTTCACCTCGGCCCACCCATGAGAAAAACATCAGCAGCATATTTGCACAGGAAGATCACAAGTCTTATCTTTTCTTCATCACCTTTTCATCCCTTCATCCCTCTACATCACCCCAGAAGGAGTCCATGAGAAACGGGCCCCCGATACAGAACCAAAACCCCTTCAGCGCTGCGGACGCGCGACACGCTCGCGTCGGCGAGGAGCGAGAAGGAAACAGCGTCGCACGAGACGAGACGAGACGGACGCGCGACGCGTCGCACGAGACGGTCCCGCCCAAGATGGCCATGAGGGAGGTGAGGAATTCGTACCATCGCTTGGACTTTTCCTGGGTCCCAGAAGAGTCCCAGGCATTTGGCACCGAAGAGAAGGGGCGAAGTTGGTGTCAGTTGGTGTCGCATGGGCGGCAGAAAGTTTGGAAGTTTCGGTGAAGATGACTGTCCATCAAACTGATATGACAGCAGGATTGCTGACATTCGTCGACGATTACCGAGTCATTGAGTATAATTAGATGGCAGCCAACCCAGCGAGGTCCATCAAATCAAGTGGCTACGAACAAGCTAGCTGGGCAAAATGCGCAAAGTTGCTGCCCCTCATCTGATCTACCATTCCACAGTTCAGTGATGCCGACCTTTTGCCCCTCTGCAATCTATGAGCTATATTGACTATAGTTGAGAAACTCTCTGTATCACCTTGGTTCCCTCTTTGTGGAAGATATAGGAAGACATGATGCCCTCAGCTTCAATTTCTTCAGTTAGCAAGGAGGGTGAATAGCAGACCGTCGTATAGAGTCTCAAATCCCCCAACACCTTGTTGAGAGGGTCTTCCTTTGGTTCTTATCCCGACACCTCCAGTCGTACCTCCTCAAAAGGTATGACTGGACCCTCCTGGCACCCGGGCCCCCAGTCCCACCTTCGAAACGAAGGTACGACTGGAGGCCAAACGGGTATACTTGTTTGCTTCATTTCTTTAAGAGTTATTCTCGAAGAATCCATGCAATGAACGAACATGCAATGAACCCCCAAAACGGCCCCCTAAAGTGCGCGGTGGTACTATCTACTTCAAACTCATTCATTATAGCCTCTTCACCCAAGGGGATCCTGGTGTCTTAATGCAAGGGATTTGCAACTACAAGCTGCGCAACAAGTTAAAACTCCCCCAGCCTTCACCACCACGCTCATTGGCGAAAAATCGTAGCTGAAGCGCGCCTGGGATGAAGTCGGAAAAAGGAGTTCGACCCAGTCGTCTGCCCGAAGAATCAATGTTGCAAACATATGCAAAAATTGAAGCTGCACTTCAGGAAGTGAACACCCGATTCATATGGAGCCAGCCACCCTCGTTCCCTGCGCCAGTCAGTTTCACCGACTGCGGTGCGCTTTCAAGGACCAGGTTTCCCGGGTTCAATTCTGCGAAAGCAGGTTGGAGGCCATCGCAAGAAAGGCCAGAGGCTTCCAACCCAATAGCGATGGCCTCCAACATCTCTTCACCCTGCTTAAGATCCTTAGCAGGCTTCGTTGGAAGGATTGCTGGGCACCACTTCAGACCCTCTCTCCGCGGCTCTCCACCCGCACCCGCGGCTCTCTCCGACTCGTCTCCGCGGAGTCCGCGCCTGCGTTGCCTTCTCGCTGTTCTTTTCCAGCTTCCGCACTCGATCGCTGTGTGTCATCTGGTAAAAGACCTCGATCACTCGACGAAAGCGTCCGCGTCGTCATCTCCCGGTCATCGCGGATTCGACGTCCATGCGGGAAGGCGTCTCTTCTTGGAGATCTGTTGGGAAGGGCGTTTGGGAAGGGGGTGAGTGTATATAGCGCCACTTATAAGCACATGACATTATACATATACATTAGTAATTTCATATCCATAGAGCGGTGTAAACACATTCTGGGTACTGTAGCATGGGTTCTTGGATCCTCTGCAACACAGAGGAAGGCATCAACAAAATAATTTGGTTCTTTCTCGCTTACTAGCCATCCCTTTTTTTTTTTGACTTTGGAGCTGTTCGAGGTCTGTGACCGCCAGCTTGGCGTGCACTGGGAATTCTAGGTAGAAACGGCGTCAGCTCAGAAGACCTTCCGGTGGTGATAGTCCGGTGCCAGTGCCTGCTCCTTCTGTTCTCTGTCATCCTCCGTCAGCCATCGGAAGTAGGCGAGGTCGTCCGGGTTCCAAGGTTGAAGGTCCTGAGGGCGTTGTGCCAGAAGAAGGGCACTAACAAAACTATCTGCAAGGGCTGCATTCAGCCTTTCCGGATATTCTTTCGCTAAAGATGTCTTGAATGTGCCATCTGCATTGCGGCCTTGAAGAGTGATCAGCTGGGCCCAGTTGGGCGGTCGCATAAACTTTTGCAAGGAGCGGTCAAAGGCAGGCATAAAGCCGACCAAGAGGTGCGTCGGCTTGCTAGATGCGGAGCCAAAAAAGGCCTGTCTGATCAGGTGTCGCTTGACCTTCTGGTGCCGATAGGCATATTGGAACCAAGGGAGGCGCCACACCGTGGGTCGGGTGCTGTCCTCCGGTTCCCTTGGGTGCTCCAGTACAAATGGGACACTGAATGCAATTGCTGTGTAAACTAGCCGGATTGCTGTGAACAAGAGGAAGTTAGCCACTCGAAGTTGGGCTATTTCGGGACTCGTAAGTCCGGAAAGTGCTAGTGCCTGGAATCCGTTGCGCAGTGGTCGCACGGGTCCTTGCAAGTACCTGGCTTGAGACCATGTCTCGCATGGCGGTGCCAGTAGCAGTCCTCGAACAAGGCCGTTGCGGCACCATTGCACTATCCGGTGGATGAGCTCTTCGTTCCCAACGTCATGCCGGGTGGAAATGGCGAGGTCCAAGGTTAGGACATGCCCCTTTACTCCATGTTCAGCCATTATCCTCTTGATGTTCTCTGAAAAATCACCTTCGCGGTGCCGCCCAGAAAACACATAAATGAACAAAGGCTCATGCTGACTTTGAGGTGGCGGATTAACCGACCATTGGGCTCTAAAGCAGTGGTGGTGCTGCAATCGAATGGCAAGTTGGACAGATACATCAAAGGTGTCCCATTGCTGTCGCAGGCACTGCCATCTCTTGGTATCGAAGCCTGTGGCAGGACAAAGCGCCTGTCTGGGCACACGGATATCTCTCAAGAGATGGATGCGCTGGCTCGGGTCAAGGTGAGCCTCTGGTGCCTGAACTGCCCACATGTTTGTGGCCTCATGCAACGTGAGAAAGGCCGCAACACTGTCTAAATGAGGCAGCTTATGGCGAGTAGCCAGGTGCTCAAACAAGCCTTGGACGATATGTGGGGAGTATTCCCGTTGATGAAGGACTGACAAAAGAATGTCAGGTTCCTGCCTAGCGGCTGCTTGCATGGTCATCTCGAGCCATTGCGAATGCTCCTCGACAGCCTCTGGCATTCTGGTCCCTCCCCTTTGTCGCTCCCATGGCCATGGGATGAGAGGCCCCGGCTTACGCATCACAGGTCGCCGATGATGCAGGATCCTTTCACGCTTTCGGTGTTGTTGCCTTACCTGCTGCTCTTGGGCACGTACATCGTCAAGCTCTTCAGTTGTGAGCCGAGGGTAGCTCAACATCAAACGTGCCAAGCAACCAGTGCGGACATATTTCAAATGCATGACCAATGAGGCTCGATCGTGGTAGCATTTGAGGCAGGCACGACACGTGGAACCGACTGCGTAAAATTGTGCCACATTGTGTTGCTCATGTCGCTTAAATTTGTGGGCACAAAGGGCTGCAAAGGTGTCGAAACAAGCTGTGCATTGGTCACAAATGTACCAGCCGGCCAATCTGTCTGGTGCCCTCTGGGCTATTAGGGATAATCCTGCAATCTCCTGAACTTGTTGCATACGATGTTCAAACAATCGAAAATCATGCCATAGGCCTTGGTATTGTTGGCTGAGTTTTTGCACTCGCTTTGTCAGCTTCAGGAAGTAGCCTGGTTGTTGCAGGCTAAGTGTTGCCCAGTGAAAAGCATGATCGGTTGTGGGGCTGAGTGGCACTTCAGTAGCAGGTGCATACTCTACAAGCCTCTGCATGTCAAAGGCCAGTAAGGCCAACCAGCCATTGTGGGGACTCTGCGACTGGAGTAGGGCCCACAGTTCATGCATATCAGTTTGGACAATCCTGTCGAACAAGGCTGCTCGCTGTTTGGCCAGAACCAAAGCCGGAAAAGTTTGGGCACTTGCAGTCAAAAGGTCAAGATGCATGACATGTGCTTCCAAGCGCAAGTGTGGAACAAGTCTGGCATAGAGTCGCATGATCTTGGACTGCCATTGCATGGCGGTAGCAACATGCATCAACTGCCAGGCTCCAGCCCCGAATGTCAAACGGCTCATAATCAGTGCTTGAAAAAGCTGACTTCTGGTTCGGCAAGGCATGTGGGGCGAACGAAAAATTCCTGATGATAGCAATTTGAGCGCTGGTTTGATGGCAATGAATCGTCTGCGGACATCGCAGGCTGGGTGGCCTTTCATATCTTGGAGGGAGCCAAGATAGAGGTAATCGGGCACAATGCTAAGGCGTTGACTAGCTGCAACGGCCTGACATGTAAAATCAAGCCCTGGGTCGTCAGGGTTGGAGTGCAGGATCTGCGTCCAAAGTGCTTGTGAGTCAGTGCCGCGCAGGCAGAGGACCACTGAGGTCTTATTGCGATTCAAGTTCAGGCTAAGACCATATGACGCGGCGCAATCATACACAATGGCTGCAGCGACAGGAACCTGATCGAGAAGCTTCTGCGGAGTCTCCTCGGTCATTAAGATAACTTGGTCATCGACCCAAGCAGCTTGCGCAATGTCCAGATGGACGTTTTCGTCCGGTTCGAAACGTGCATTTGGCAACCATTGGAGTGGGACCGTCAGGCGAATGCCATGGTGGTTGAGACGTTGCTGCAAGTCCTTCATGTAACGGCCCATTATGAAACCAAAGAGGAGATCGGCAATGCTGTCTCCCGGTCTGGTTCCGGTGCTCGTGGAGGTCAAGGTGGCATCATTTTGTCGCATGCGAAACCAAGTGCCTGCAAACAGAGAACGGACCTGGGCTTGGTGAAAGCCGGAGGTATGGGCAAGTTCCAGTGCAGCGGGCTCTTCAACGTGTTGAAGAAACTCGGTGAACAATTCAGGTGACCAATTATTCTGCGCAAAAACATGAATTAGCGCTGAATCACTCGGGTGGCTATCAGTCACGAGATGCCGGCATGCACGATAGAAAGCTTGAGCCACATCGATGAAAAGAGCGGCGCAACTGGCATGGCACTGTCTAGCACGCTGTGCATACAGCTGGACAAGCAAGTGGAGATGGTCCACTCCAATACGGGGAATCCCTCCTGCTTGAGTACTAAAGCGAAAAATCTGGTATGTGGGCAAAAGACGCTGACGCAGCAGGCCGTGGGAAATCTTGGCCTGAAAATTGGAAAGCATAATGCTACGAAACTTGTCGGCCTCAAAAGCTGCATGACCAGTCTTAGGAACTGAACAAATGTCACCTCCACGCCAACTCATCGGTTCTGCACAACGAAGAGCTGCCTTGGTCAACAGCGGCCACAAAATTCGGGAAAAAAGGGTTGGCTCAAGCTTGTAAATCTCCGCAGCTAGGCCATCAGGCCCTGGGCATTTACCTTTCTTGGCTCGATGGATATATGCTTCGATGGCTTCACGAGTCGGCAGTGCTTGAAGATCAAAAGAAAAAGCTCCGGATGGATACGAAGGATGCTCAAGAGAGGCAATCTGCTGCAATTGCGGAACTGTGACACGAATACCCCCCTCAGCTTGACCAAAATGGTCTCTCCAACGCTCCGCTGCGGCTTCAAGTGAGTCAACGAAAACACCATCTAGATCTCGAACTGCAGGTACAGGTTGGAACGCCTGTCTGCCTTTACGGAAAGTCTGGCCCATCAAAGGCCGCAGGGTACGAAAAAGCTTGCCTACATTGTGATGATGTGCGGCATCTAAGGCTTCTTGTGCTTGCTGCGCGGCTGTCTCGATTCTATCCATTCGACTGGCCTGCCTGGCCCATGGATGCATCATGCGACGGCGAGTGAGAGCCCATATCAACATGAGTCGGCACCTTGACAAAAGGTCTCGTCTCTGCTGTTGCACTCGGTCGTAGGAAGGAAAAAGGTCGAATGGCCTCTTCCGGAGACGTACGAGGCGCTGCCAAGCAAGAAACCAGATCTGCTTAAAGAAAACGCTACTCATCTTTTCAACATTGGAGGCAAATTTTCGCAAGTATTGGCGCGTTTGGACTAAGGCCCATGTGTGCTCGGACATGTATCTCTGTCGGGGCTGGGTCTTATCAACTCGAAATGCTTCAGTAGCCCCTGTCTGAACCCAACTTGTCAACATGTTGGCATGCACACCTACCGGCATAGCCCATGGGATGGGTGGCATGTTCCGGACATGTTGGAGAAATCTAGCCTGACGGTCACTGTCACGCATGTGCCGAGGGTCTAGCCTCGGTATGGCACCATGGAGGCCTTTGACTTTGGCAGAGCTAAATTCAACAGCAACGCAAGCTGGAAAATGGTCCTCCTGACTGATGATGAGGTCAACCTCAGTGGAGACCCATGATCGGACTTTGAAGGTCTTCCATTGCAACGGCAGCATAACAAAGTCAAGGCGACTGCGGGTGCCTTGGCTGGACTGCCATGTGTACGAAGGGCCTTCATGACAGTCATGTGTAGACGGGATCCACAGCGAGTGACGCAGGGCAAACCAATGCACTGAGGACCCAACATGGTTTTCTGTTTCTGCACCATGATTCGAAATGGCCTCACTAGTAATTGACCCCAGGCGACCGTTGGTGTCGGCCAGCACAATGAGCGGAAGTTCTGGTGCTTTGTTGTCTGCTAACTGTGTCATGGAATCCCACCAGGCAGCAAAATCTGCATCTGTCGCTTTATGGTGCGGTGCATGCAAAACAAGAATCCGAACGTGCAGGCCCGGGGCTTTGAGAATTGCAAGGATGTGGCGGTCATCGAACGAAGTGACCAGGACATGATCTGGGCTGAAGAACAATGGTCTACCATTAATCTGCCCATAAGGTCGGGTACGGGAGACCCACACTTCACAGCCTCTGACACCTTCGGGTGTAGCGCCTGACTGGTAAACCAGGAATTGCTGATTGTGTCTGGTGTGACCTGCCAGCGTACGGGCCTCTTGGATGCCGACAATGTGCAGTCCTGCATCATCAAACTGCCTTTGAAGGGTCGCTATCCGACCCATTTGGAGCAAACCATGGGCTTGATGGCGTTGTGGACCTGGCGACAGCGAAAGGACATTTGCGGTCGCAAGACACAAACTTACTCGAACAGGAGATGGTGCCTTCTCCGTGTACGGGGTACTGGCCCACGTGGTGTCACAAGGAGTTCGTTCAAACGGCCCTTCATGGTGCAATATGGCAGGCAAAGCACTGGGGTGTGGGACCTCCTCTTGTGGTGCAACTGTCATCCATGCACAAGTTTTGGCAGGATCTTTCAGGGCAATGCGGACCTGCGCTGGCAACATCGAAGGCATTATTATCCCCAACGCCATCGCTTTGGCAGTTCGGTCAACGCATTCATTCCACGGGTGTTGGCTATGTGCCTTTATATGTGTATATGCGACTTGAAACCCGATCTCTTGGATGTAGTGACGGAGCACGGCAATGTGTGTCCGAAGCTGGTCAAGAGGCCAGGGTGCAATCCAATTGGTCCGGCCTGCGGCATATTCGCCTACTGTCATACAGTCAAAGTGTACTTCAATCGGGATGCTCTGGTCAGGGAGCTGACAAATCCATGCCAAAACCCAAATCATGCCAACAGCTTCAGCTGTGAGTGAATCAGATTGAATTTCACCGACCGAAATTGCGAATTGCTCAGGCTCCGAACTCATGGACAAACGGCTGGTCACTAATGCCCAAAACTGGTGCAGCGTGTGCCGCTCAAGGCTCTCTTGCCCTGCGAATGAAACTGATGGTGAACATTCCGCAAGTACACAAAAGGCCCATGCTGCTGGACACTGTGGCAGCTTGGAGAAGGAAGAACCATCAACAAAGATATGGAACCTCGTAATTGGATCACCGGTCCATTCTGGTATACTACGGAGCGCATCAAGCAACGCAGGCTCGAGGCCTGGGATCAAGTCAAGTACCTTTAAATGCCGGTAGTAAGACTCTTCAGGCCAAGGATTACGGATGTCCTGGAATCCATGCATTGCTTGATGGAGGTGACATGCAGCCCCTACCCGAGGCACAAGTTGCTCTAGACTAATCTGAGTGCGGACACTATCAGATTCCCTTAAGTCAAAGAACTGCGTCGGCTTCGGTGGCGATTCAAGCAAAAATGGGCTGTCTTGGGATGATGTCTGGTTCGCCAGGCCCAGCCCTAAGCCTGGCTTCTGCTGCTCTAGTTTAACGGCTTTTGATCGTCGCCCTCCTCTGTGGCGACTTCTGTGGGCACAGGGGACCCAGCTTCGCTTCCTGAGAATTCCTCGCAAGGCACCGGTGTGGCTAAGCCTTGGATATAGTCCGAAATCGGTCCTTGCCCATGGACATCCCCTGGTTGGGCTTTGGCGATCTTGGGGTTTCGCTGCCCTGGTGGTGAGGCCGAGGATGATTCGGCGGCTTTGGGCAATGCGGCTGCTTGAAAGGCGGCAATTTGTTGCATACAAAAGGCCTGATGTTGTGCAAGAACCTCCATCTGCTTCTGTTGGCTGGTCAATGCATCCAGGCGGACCTTTTCTGGCGTGCTGGCGATCGAAATAGCTGGGTCGTAAGTGTCCAGTCCCGGAGTAGAACCAGGCAGCTGTCCAGGTTCTATCTGTGTGCTTAGTTCTCTTGTGGCGATTGGTAGGCCTTCTGCTTGGGCCTGCTGCAGTGTTTGTTCTGCTGCCTTGACGGCTGCTAGTAGCTGTGGTGATGGTGTCTGCTCTCCGTAGATGTCCCATGCCCCAGGAGACTTGCTGTCCCAGGCCCCGGGCGGTGTGGTCAATATGTCCCCTTGCTCTGTGTCTTGTAAAGGATGTGGTACCTGAGGTGAGGCAGCGGTGGACTTGGTCTGTGCTTGGTGTAGCACCGGTGATGCAACAAGCGGTGGTTTGGCCGGCGGAGTGGTTGGGGCCCATACGGAAGGGTCCCCTGTCGCCATGTTTGGATGTGTTGCTTGAGGAAATGGTTCCTGGCAATGTGGTCCCGGCGGTCCTCCAGTCAAGCCGGTATATTCGGCATGAGCACCCCTGGGTGGCATGTCGCGCGCCACCTGTGTGGGTGCGACAGGTGGTGGTGCCTGTTGGTTCCCGGGCCTCCCCAGTGTGGCGTGCTGACTGCCACTCTTGGCAGCAGGATCCTGTAGGCCCTGCGGCGGCATCACTTGAGGCACGTGCTGTGTTGGAAGCCATGGGCCCTGTTGTGGTGGCATCTGTACGCCAGCGGGATGGCTTGTATTCTGGTGCGGTGGTGCTTGAGGTCCCTGGTACTGTTGCTGTGCTTGTACTCCATAAGGTCCAGTCGGCTGCTGGTATAGTTGCTGCAGATGTGCTTGCGCTGCTGCTGCGGCTTGTTCTCTGGTCATGTGCTCTGTCATATGTGCTTGGTTCATAACAGGTCGACACGAGGTGGCTGGCATCGGAACCCATGGGCTCGTATGGATCTGGTCGATCTCCATGGCAGTCATGGTCTGCAGCCTGGGATCTGGGAGCAAATTGGCAAACGTTTGGCCAATCTCTTGTTTGACTTTCTGTAAGTCTGCCTGTGCTTTTTGAAGCTCCTTCTTCTAGTTGTTGTACATGCTGTTGGTAACTGAGATGTGCTTGCTGCATCTTTCGGCTTTCTGCTATGACATGCTCTTGCCATGCAATGTGGCTTTGCGCGATGGTGTCCTCGAGTCGCTTCTGTCGCTTCTCCGCCCTCCCAAGGCGGTTGGCCTCTGTGTGCAATTGGGCCTGTACTGTCTTTTGTGTACTGCTTTCTTTGACGATCGAAGTGCATGCTGTGGCAATGTCGCATCGGTTCTCTAGACAAGTCTGCTGAAGTCTCTGGGCAAAGGCTTGCACTTGCATAGAAAGTGTGGGTTGCTCTACTGCTTGCATTGCTACTTGCTGTGGCTCGTATCCATGCCCCTGTGTCATCAAGCCATTCTGTGTGTTCGGCATGGTATGCAAAGGCATGGCATGTATCGAACTCGTTATGGCACCTACTGACAAAGTCTGAGGCGGCGGACTGACGGTAGACAGACTGGACTGACCTGGAGACCAAACTGCGATCGGCAGGGACGGCTGGGACTGTTGGCCACCTAACGAAGAGGCAGAGGCATAAGGCAATGACGCCTGGCCAGCTCCATGTCCTGTCTTGGTAGTCCCTGCGGCCTTTGATGTCCCGGTGTGTTTCCCTTTTTGTCTCTTGAGGTCTTGGGTTTGGGTCCAGTGTCCCCCACAATCCCTGCATGCTTCTACAGATTCTTTGTTTCTGGTGCCACATGAGCAAAACCACCGTGTCATGTCGGCTCTATGACCCCGAAAACGCTGGAACGAGTGGTGTGTATATAGCACCTTTTCTAAAACGTCCTGCTGAAGCCTGCCAAGTCTCAGTTCTCTGCGAGCTGCAGCTCTCTGAAACCTTGCCCGACGATGCCACGTCGGTGAGAGAGGAATCTCTCCTTAGGCCAGTCGCCTCCCAGAATGCTGCCCAGCTCCAATGGCAGCGAACACGAGAGGGATGGACAAAAAGGTTCGAGCACCACACAAGTGTCTGCTCTGGGGCCTAGCATTCACCGCTCTTGTGAGATCTGAGCCCTACTAGCCATCCCATCCAGATGAAAAAACCTTGGTGTTTGGATAGAGTTGGGCCTTTCGGTGATTTATAACGGAAGGTGCCAACGACATCACCTGACTGTATGTGTGGTTCATCAACTTTCCGAAAGCCACAGGGCCACAACCTCTCCAGAATCATCTGGTACCCTTGACAAATAGAGGCCATAAAGGTGCAAGTCCTCGAAGAGTGCGAAGATTCATCAGCTAAATGCATCCTTTTTTTCCATTCGTTTCCCTGAACCTTCAAAGACATGCGCCTCTGTTCTGAGGATTGTATCAGCTTGGCAGCTTGCAGGTCTGAACCGCTGAACTGGCTGATTCCAAAGGTCTGTGGCGTCTTTACCCGTAGTCTTCAGCGTGCTGCCCGCAGGGCGGTCGATGAATCCCAATGGTGGAATCCTGCCCAATTCTTTGCAAGGAAGAAAGAAGTGAGTGGATGGGGAATTCCTCCTTTACAACATCCCACCAACCACTGACGTAAAAAAAATAAATAAATGCGCTTCCTTCCGTGAACAACAAACTTGAGCTGAACGAAAAAAAAAACTTCGAAGTGTAGTGCAACTGGGCTATGCTTGGTGGCTCCTTTGAACAGTGCCAGCTCCCCCTCCCCAAAACAACCACCCACCTTCCACCTTGACCCGAAGGCAGCTGGAACGGATGCACATGGTGTTTAAGACCACCTGGCATCGCAGCCTTCCCCCCTCCGGGCTCCCGAGCGCCATCACGGTTTTGCACTCGAGTGCTCACCACCTCGCGCGGAGGGAGCGCAGGGCGCAGGGCAGGGCGTCCACCAATGGAGCCCTCCCGGCTGGTCCACCAGGGTCATGGTGGAAGAACGTCAAAGAACATGAAACAAGGACCACCAGAAGAGCACACAGGTCGAACATGGTTGAACCCTCAACATGAGGTTGGATAGCACCAAGACAAGAGACATGTGGTCGATGCCTCTGATGACATTTTGAGGGTTTTTCTGTGATCTGGATAACACTCAAGCTGATCAGTAGTCAGTCTTACTGCTGCAGGTGAGTTCTACAGGCATTAAGAGGGACAAATCAACTTGGCAGTCAATTCCCTACAGCGATTAACCGGTCCTTTTCCTTTCGTACACCATCAATCTCATAACACGACGATATATATATATATATCAATGTCAATCTGTTCATTATCTCTTCATGCCAGTATACAAATGAATTCTGGTGCTATGTTTGTTTACCTTTCTGTTTACTTTTCCTCCTGTCCAATCCATGGACAGGCTTAGGACACACTTGCCCTTCGAGCAAGCGAAGGAACGGACCCTCAGTTCGCTAGGGTGAAATGACCCTCACAGCCCAGGGTTTTGGACCGAACCAACATGTAGCAGTTGGTTCGGGTCCAGGGTCGCCTCTGGGGTATCAATGATCAAACTCACACAAGGTGAGCACGGATTGGGCACTCGTGAGTATGAGCAAGCAGGAACGGCCCATGGAACGGGATCCAAGGTCCTACTCGATGGAGGCGGCACTGCACTTTCACTCATGCCCGGCAGCCGAAAATGACCTGGACTAATTACGGATGGGATCATGAGTCTGAATAGGTGAATATGATGGAATATGTGTCTCATCCATGAGGACAAATAATTTACATAGAGCTTATTCATAGCTTGTCCCATTTTCAATGTAACATCATGCAACTAACCCTCAACCTTCAAAGACCATTGAACGAAAGGTTCATCTACCAGCACCTTCAAACTGGTCGCAATGGAAGCCCTCCCACTACTTAGGGATCTCCCAGGGGTTCCAGGTATTTTGATCTAGAATGATCTAGATGTCTTATGTGTTATGATGTGTGGTGTTTTCAGTTCGATGTTGACCATGGTTCTTTGGAATTCAAACCCAAGAACCAACCATCTTCTTCACGAATGAATCCCTATGCATCCCTATGAATCCCTTCTTCACGCATCCCCCCCTACAGCGCCATCCCAACAGCGCAATCCCTACGCCGGAGCAGTCGAGCCGACAGGGCGGTCACTGACTTCGCTGTACGCCGAGCGCGCGCGGAAAGCGTGGACCGACCCTTCGGGCGGCCCGTCCTCGCGAACGGACGCCGAAACGGACGGATTTGGGGAAGCAATTCCGAACAGAATCCTTTCAGATCCCCGATCTGCCACCGAACCTTAGGTACGAGCAGGGAGACGATTGATGTAGGTGCGAAGGTCCAATGGCCTGAGATGGTATGTGGATCCGGGATCCAAAGGCCACATCTTCGGGTCAAAAGTGCGTCTCGCCTTCCGTGCTCCCCTTTCCAAACTCCGTTGAAAGGCGTTGGCACCCCACCGTCCCCGTTCGGAACAAACCGACGGCCTTCGGCCCATTTCCAGTGCCGCGGTGCCTTCAGGTAGTGCTGCGGTGCCTCGTGAAAGCGCTCGACTATGAAGCTCCGGCCATCCTGAACCGCAGCTCGTGCGAAGCTGGAGGCTGCGTCGGTTGTGTCCCTGCCACCGTGGCAGAGTTTAGACGGTGAAGTTCTTTCGCTGTTTGATCCTGCTCCACCATGGTTCACCTCATATCTTGCGAGGTCATGAAGCACGGGAAGGCAGTCAGTTTGTTCAGCCAATGTCGACAGGATGTGGGTCCTGTTGCACCTGGATTTGTGGGTTCGTCTGCTGTGACATGCTGTGACAAGTGGATCATCTTAGAAATATGTGGTTCATGTCTTTTTCATTCCCATGTTTTGCACACGGCTTTCGTGAGCGTTTCTCAAGTGTCAACCCTACAATTGGCGGACCCACTCACAATCAGCATAGCTGCAGACCCCAGTGCATCCAGTTACAGTACCACTATATATATAGTAGATAACCAGATAACCAAAGACCCAAATCATAGACCTAGAAACCCTGGCTACTTATATAAAACACATATATATATAAAGACTCCCAGCACTCCACTCTCTTTTGTCTGCAATGCAAAGCCTA